ATCTATTGACTTACTTTATCAATCTAATCTCATGATAGCTATAGCCATTTAAACAAAAAAATACCATTTAATGGTTGACTAATAATATATTGACTTCATATCCTTCTAATCAGAATATAGTTTTATTAGTAGGATTTTTCTTCTGTTGCTTTCTTGCTGGATATTTTGGAGACTTCTTAGTAAGCAGATATATACTAGTTGTGGTTGGATCATATATTACAAGATCATATATATTTTGCAGTTCTTATCTAGTCTATTCAGTAATTTAACCTTTGTCTTGCGTGAGTAGAGCCATTAAGAAAGCAAGAGTATAATACAGTAATAATATACAGTAATAATAATTATTCAATAATTAGTATTTATCCTTATCATTTAGAAGAAAAAGAGAATTATGAAAGTGATTGTTATTTAATAATAACTTTTGCTTTTAATTAAAACATACTTTCAATGTTTGCCTATAACAATTATAGGTGTCAAATAAACATTATACAAAGTTAAGCTAAGTTTACAATATACACTGTGTTCTCATTAAGACCAACCTGTCCCAGTTTGGTTTTATGTTAATGTTGCACAGGTTTAACCTAAGTAACGTCACAGGTGAGTGTTTATATATTGTAAACCTAGCTTAAAGTCAAGCTTGCTATTCACAGCTCTTTTCTTTTCTCTTCATAATGTCTGATAGTGTTCCTCTATTAAGCTCATCATCAGTTACTAGTAGAAGGAGATGTTCTTCTTGTCCTTCCTCTTATCATTTCCAGTTCATTCACTCTAAAGGAGCACTACTGGTACTATTCTGGGATCTCATGATATCTATGAGTCAGAATCTGTTAGTTCGTTTTACATTCTCTTTTGTTTCTGGTGAATTTTACATTATCATAGCATTGATAGTCTCTTTTGGTTTCTTTTTTGCTGGATATTTTGGAGATTTTTTGGTGAGCAGATATAAAGTTCTTCTGATTGGGTCATACGTTGCATTTATTTTACTAATTTCATTTATATTTACAACAATGCTTCTATCGTCATATACAGTAGAATTGGTATCATGCATTTTATTAGTGATTGCTATGGTCTTCATACGTGTTAATCTGTTACCATTCAATATTGATCAGCTCATTGGATCATCAAGTGATGAACTAACTGCTGTACTACACTGGCATAATGTGGGACCTGCATTTGATAATACATTAATATTTAATATAGAGCCACTATACCTGTTAGTAGCTAGTATTGTCTGTGTTGCTGCAGTACTAGTCAGTCACAGTCTCTTCAATGGTTATCTTGATACTACTCCTGTGAATACAGTTAATCCGGTCAAACTGATAATTAGAGTATTGTGTTATGCCAGGAAGCACAAGTATCCTGAGAACCGTAGTGCTCTGACCTACTGGGAGGAAGAGGCTCCTTCAAGATTAGACCTGGGTAAAGATAAATATGGTGGACCATTCACAGAGGAAGAGGTAGAAGATGTGAAGACTGTTCTTAGATTAATACCACTGGTAGTTGTCTGTACTATGTCATCAGCATTTTTCGGTATAAGTACTGAAGGACTAAGATGGGAAAATTATGGGTGCGATTACCCTATGAGTTTTGACTTGTCATTTTGTGTACCATATATCTTAATCATTTTCCTCCATCAGTTCCTGGTATATCCATGTTTTCATAAGTACATTCCTAGTATGCTGAAGAGAATAGGAATGGCTCTGGTACTAATAGTTTTTCTTAATATTCTTTATACTGGTCTAGCAGTCATTAGTAATTATCAGTTTGGGCAAATGTTTCACTGTCTCACTGCTTTTGATGGTAATTCATTCACTAGTCATCATCAATGGATACATTTTGGTAATATCATTGATGCAGTTGTTTATTATACTTTCAATATTGTTCTAGTTGAATTTATACTTGCTCAGTGTCCTAAATCAATGAGAGGAACTATGATAGGATTGTGGTTCTGCTTCTGGTGTTTGAGACACTACATTCCATTTGCGTTTTTTCTTCCATTTCTTCGCTACATGAGTCCATCAGAGTTTTCATTGGGTCGGGGATTCTTCTTTCTACTTGCAAGGACCATTGTAACTTCACTACTTTTACTTATTTATATATTTCTTGCTAAGAGATACAAGTTACGTGTGAGAGAGGTTGAAATCAACGTTCATCAAATTGCTGAGAATCACACCATTAACAATATTGAACGAGAAGAAGAATATTGGAGGTGGAATGCAATATTGTTCTCAAGTTCATCCAACTGATGATGTAGTCTAATATCAAGAACTTTGTTTGTGTATTTTCATTGCAGTTAATTTGTAGTTGCTTGCTTTTAATTTCATAATAAAAAGTTGTCTAAAAGCTGTCAAACTAATAATTGCATCCCTTTTAATTTATTAGATTTAGTTACATTATCATTATTATGTCACTTCTCTCAGCTACAGTCATAGTTTTTACTTTTATATTTGTGACATATGTACTCTAGAGTTACCACTATACTTGGTTGCATGTGTTTTAAAAGCATTCATCAAGACAGTGTTTGTATAGCAATGCATTGACTTACTGTACAAATTTAATTTCATGATAGCTATAGCTATCATTCAATAGTTGAGTAAACATATATCTTTTTAATCCACATGATATAGTCTTTAGCCTCTCATTCAATTATAAAATAAAATTAGTAAAGATTAATTAAGTAGTGGTAGCCAGCATATGGTCTAGCTTGCTGTTTTTCTCTCTCTCACTCTCTCTTAAATTTGTTTACGGATAAAATTGGACAGAAGTCTCTGTACTATAGTACAGGAAGTTTGGCCAAATTTCATCAAAAATTAAAAGGAGAAAATTCTTCTTTTTATATTTTTTACAGATGCATACACATGTATATACTTATGTTGTGTAGAAAGCTGAGTTGATTTGATCAAATTTGGATTAAAAAAAATTTTTTAAGGTGCTCAAAATTGGACAAAAGTCCCTGTACAGGATCTTGGGGCAAATTTTGCAAAAGAAGAAAATTCTCCATTTATAATTTACTGAATCATAGTAAAATGATTGTAGCATGTACTAGATAATGATGCCGATGACTGTTATGTGACCTGTACGTATTAAGTTTTTAATTGTAAAGGTACTATTATCATTGTTTTTCAATTGGATACAGCACAACTAATAACATTGAAAGGAAAACTATCACTGAGATATATTACTTTCATTATTTTACGGTACATTTTTTATGTTTCTCATATGTATAGTGTTAAGTAATTAATGAACACACAGTTAATCAATTATAGTTATATCTCTCTTACATGTAGTCTTGTAGTTATAATTATTAGTTTATGTTTTGCTGCAGGTTCTTCATTTCTTGCCAGTACTTATACTACTTATTGAAGTCTCCACAATAACAGAGTTTGATGCAATCTTGATTTTAGCCTCTGGATAATGAATCAGAACTGCAGTAATTATAAAAAGGTAAGAGTACACTATACTAATACATTACTGTATATACATGTACATGTATACTAGTACCTATGATTAGACATGGGAATACTCTGAGTAGGATTTTAAAAACATACACCTATTATGTTTACTAACTGTGTTGATTTAATTCTCATGATAGCCTAGTCTTTTTATAAAATAAGCAGGACGATGTATAGCCTAGCTGTATATCAAGCAAAGTTTATCTCATGCTAACTATAGAATTATAAGTTATATTTGTTCTTTTGTCGACTTCAAAGAGTTTTGTCATCTGATCAAACCACTTTTGGCTATTGTGACAGCTGTCAACCTTGGTTAAAGTCTTGCTATTGTTTCTCTTCATAATGTCTGATAGTGTTCCTCTATTAAGCTCATC